GCTGCCGGCCCGTGGGTCCCCGCGGCCGGGATTTCGGCGTTTCCCCATCACGGTGCCGCCGTCGTAGTCCTCCTGGTTGGAGGCGATATTCCGTAATCGCCCCTAAAGTGAGATTTCCCTTCGGAGCGGGAGGAACCCGCCCCATCTCGAAACCCAGCTTTTGTGTGAGGGGCTAAATTAAGGCACATCCTCCGTGGAAGAGGTCTCATATCTTCATGAACACGCCGATAATTACCGCAGGGGTTATGGTTGGAGCAGGAAGCAGTGGCCTTCGCGGGGGGGGGGGGGGTTTTTTTTTTGCTTTTATTTTGTAAGAAGTGCCTCGAAAGGAGCCCCTCGGAAGGGCTGGGCAAGGTCTCCGGCGCCCTCCGAGAGGCTCAGATAAAGTTTCACTTGTCTGTTTTCCCTAAGTCCCCCCACCAAAGTCGACCTGAGTGTATCAACCTTAAAATTCAGACACGAACCAGTAAGACTATTCCTAATTAATATAGCCCCGCTAACGAGTTAGCAGAAGCCAATCCCTTTCGTTGTTGCTCCAAATAATTTGATTAAATACGAATGTGTTTCTTTAAGAGAGAGGAAAAAAAATCATGAAACAAACATTTCCACGTTCATTTTTCATCATGGCAGTTACCCCATAGCGGAAATATAATTCTTGGCCCAGGGCAGGGACAGTAACCGTGCTGATGAAATTCGCTGAGATGCTTTTAATTCAGCCGTAACCCTGCAGTTCCTGGAGATAACATGAGGTTGTTCATTCCAAGCTGTGTTTACCCATAATACGTGCCCATTACAACAGATTGAATAGCCTAATTTTAAACGTGCTCTAGTGGAAAGTGACATTCGTAAGAGCTCTGTTTCCTAAAGTAGCTTTAAAACGAGACTTTTGTTGTTGTTGGAAGACTATTTATCTCATTTCCGGGAGCAGATTACGATACCTATAAAACAGTAGTGAGTTAAAACATCTCGCCACAATACTTTGTATTGTTCACAGCCTCAGCTGGACTTTCACATTCAGATGTCGATTGCCTCCAATTTTTTTCAGCTTCCTTAACCTCTTCATGCAGGCTAATTCATAAACACACCTGGTAGAATTACATGCTAGCTGCATGCTTTGGGAGGTCATTTAGGAAACGTGTATTTACTGACAAGCCAGCCTTCCCCGGAAAAGTTTTTTACTCTGTGCAAATAGAGCTAAAAAAGGGGGAAACAACAGCAAACAAGCACACAAGACAGTAAATACAAAGCCGTATTCAAACGAGCAGATTTTTGCAAAGTGGGTCAGAACGAAAACGTACCGTGAAAAATTAATACCCGGAGCGTGTGAAACCCACCGCACGTACTTTAAAAAGTTGTGGCTAGGCGGGCTTTTTTTTTAATCCATCACACAAACTACAAGTATAAAAAAATCACGCGAGGCTTAGTCGTATTCACATTTTAAAGCATCGGCTACATATTGGTTTCATTTTGTCCTTTTTTTTCTGTTCTTTTTGCTTCTTTCTTTCTGTCTTCCGAGTTACTGTTTGCGTTTAAATCAAACTGTCGAAAGCCTCACCACAGCCATCGGAAACATTTCTTCGTTGATCCCATAATATTAAAAGGAATTAAATTTGCACATTTGCCTGCCTGGGTCGTGTTAGAGTTGTTACAGTGACAGCTAAACAATCTGCGCTGCAATCTTCGCTTCAGTCACATTCATGCATCCTTTCCGCTCCTCCCCCTACCCCCAGAAAACCCCGAATTACAATAATCTGCAACTCCCGAGCTCTGCCAGGAAAATGTCCTAGCTAGGCACATTTCGTAGCAATTTTCCTTCACCGTTTCCCTCCGGAAAGCCGAAAGGCAACCGTCGCGTTTTACCATTGCAACAAAGTCACACTTTGCAACACCCATTTATTTCATCTGCCTTTTATTTGTTTGCTGAAAGCCCCGCACGCGGAGCACCGAGCGCCTCCTCCTCCCGGCACTGCGCCTTCCTCCCCTCGCCCTCGCCGGGAGGCAACTCCAGCCACCCTCGGATACAGGTGCGGGGGCAGTTACCCTCTTAAGCTTAAAAGCCTCCTTCTCCTCATGTATAAATCCACTTACAAATCCTTCTCATGCTCGGCAGTGTCACAGAAAACAACCTTTAACTAATAGCCTCTAATCCAAACAGTTTGGGCAACGCGAACCATTGTTTAGACTAGATTGATATTAGGGACCTCACCGGGGGGGATGCGAGCTCACCCTACCCAGCCTGTTCCCAATGTGATATTTTACAGTTGACAGACATCAAGGTGAAACCGGAGGGGAAAGGGAGGGGGGAAGAGCCAGCTCTGCCGGAATATCTTGTCCGTGGCCGAGCCGCGTTGTTCCCTTAGGTGAGATAGGCCGATATTTTCTTTCTTTTCTTTTTTTTTGG